ATTATATACTAATATAATATTTTATTTAAGAAATATATTCAAGAAATATATTCAAGTATTTATTTCCTCATCTTTTACATTCAGTGTTGAAATAGCGGCGTTGATTACCGATCGGACTAACTTTGCTCTTGTTTTCGCCATTTCCAATCCTTTGGAAAGTAAATTCTGAGAGATTGGAATTCCACCTATTAAATTTATGATCATTGTTACATGTGACATATTCAATCATTAAATCTTAAATTATGCAAAGCTTATTAAGCTTAAGCTTATTAAAATACGAATAATCCACAATATTACATTGTATTTTAATATATAATACACACCAGGTTTATGTACATAACAAATTTTTTCCTCATCGTCCATCACAATAGAAAATTTTCCTGATGACAAATCTTCCTCATCATCCGTTGGATCAGCTACTAATAATTGTCTACAAGTAAAGAGATTAATCAAATATGAACTACATGTAAATATCTGTTACACTGAATCAAAACTGACTTTTCAAATACTGCGAACGATGTAGAAATTGGTAATGTTCTTACAATAAACTTCTTTCTATTTTTCGGATTTACGATAGTTAGTGCTGTCTCTTTAGTATAATTCACCTCAGGTAAGGTCACTGCAAGATAAATTCTTTTATGAAATACAGAAAAGAAATTGAACACAGATATTATTACATATTATAGCAGTATGTACACATGTGACATACATGTTTTAAGAGCTGCCATCAATGCTCCAGTACAAGCATCTATAACTGAACCATTGTAATTCAGACACAAGATATCACAATATAATACCCATACTAATTTACTTTTACAGATGCAAAGATCTTTTAAGTCAAGTGCCGCTGAGTTATTCAAAATAATATCTATCAACTTAGAGAGCACTTGCGCCTGTTCGCTCGGTGGACCCGGACGAAACTTTGAAGAACAGAGAGGAGATAATTCCACATTTGGTACTATGTAACCGTGATCCGGAGTGTCTGCTTTCGGTGCCGCTAATTCCTAAAATAGCACAATGTGAATCATATTATTAGTGAAATAAAGCAACTTTCAGTTAAAATAAATAAAGAAAAATAAAATTTGTTATAAAATACTATATAAATTATTTAAAAAACATCAAATTCTGTCTCTCATATATGTATTTGAAGAGATATAAAATAATACAAATAGATGTTCCATTTTTGTTTTTACTTATGATATGTCAAGAAAGATATTACAGAATAAGTTCGTATCGACTTGTATCATTGAATGGAAAGCATCCTTTATTACTCATAAAATCTTAGAAAAAATAGAATGACATTTTTTGTGTCATCTTGTGATGTTAATACTTGTTTTTTCTAATTTAGATTAACTTTAACCTCAGTTTAACTTATATATTATCTCTTTATCTTCTAATTCGTAGAACTTCTCAAAAAAGATAAAGAATAAGTTAAACAAAGATTAAAATTAATTTATACTAGTAGTAGTAGAATTTATACTAGTAGAAATGGATATAAATGGAAAGCATCCATATATAAATAATGTTGTAACTATACTTACAACTTTAATACCACAAACTGCAGTTGTATCACCTAATTTAAATATTGCTGAACTATCTGCCTGAACAATTGATGAGACATTTACACTTACTGGTCGAAATGATAAAAATTTCCTACCATCTGTCCGAACATTTTGTTCCTGCAAATGCCGGATACTTTATAGAAAAATTCTGTTATATTTATGTCTTAATTTATTCAATTTGTATACAATATTTACCAGATGATCCTGCAAATATTTCACAGGATGGATCGTTCTGTAAAAAAATATTAAAATGGATATATTAAAGTGTCATTCAAAACAAAATAAACATTATAGTTCAATCCTACAAATTTTACAAGTTAATTAAATATTTTCTTGCTAAAAAAAATTATTTTTTTGTACACTTACTGTACTTTGTACTTATAAAAAAAGCATATGAGATGTTCACTAATCATGTACTCTGTGATTTATTTAAAAAAATACGATATACATACTTGTACTGTAAATCCATTTATATAAAATTTTCTGTATTTAACACTAACAGTATCTTTGTTTTTGACAACGGAGCACTATTGA